CTTCTCTGGCCTGTGCCCCAGTTCTCTATGAATAAATAAATCTTTAAAAAAAATAACATTTTCCACTCCCTCCCTTTATTTTTTTCTTTCTGGAAGAATATTTGATTTCTTTGATTTTTCTAATGTTTCTTCTTCTTTTATTGCCCATCTCATTGTCTTTTCTTGTCCTTCACAGACGATTAGTCGGCTTTCTATTTCACCTTTAATGTTAAAGTTACAATGAAGCTGAGTGCTTTTTTTTTTAATAGACTCCTTCTTGGTTATGGATGTAGTGTCTTATCTCCTTGAAGACATTCAATTTTTAAAAGTTCTCTTCACAGTTTGTTTCTCTGGAATTTCATCTTTACTCTTTGGGGTTGTCTTTCATTTTTGAGACATTTCTCTGTGGACTTCAATTGGATGGCCTTTTATATTTAACAATGAGACACCAAAAGGCTATTTGAAGAGATTTGTACATGTTTGGCACTTGTTATCTAATGACTGGAATGAGGACTAGTGAAGAAATGAATGGAAACATAACTAGCCAGAAATATAGACGTGGGGTAGTAATTATTGCTGGGAAATGGAAAGAGGGACTTAGAAATACATCATTAACTCAAAGACTGATGGGAATGGAAGGAAATGTAAACCTTCATTTAAGTGTAGAAGGCAGTTTTGCAGTTCCTGGGAGCCCATGAGAATTGGGTCTTTTAGGGTCATTAAATTTCAGGGCATTTCATTATGTCTCTGACCCAAAACAGTTGTATCTCTGTGTCAGAATAATCTTCACATTAATACAATGTCACTAGTGTTAGTTCATTTTGTGAAAGAGGAGGCATGCTTATTATCTTTGGTTCACACAATTAACTTTATTTTTAATAGAGTTCAGAGATGATAACAGTTTGTGATAAAGTCCTAGATAGGAGGTAATTTTATAAAAGGAAAATGGTGTGGCAGATCTCCAAACTGATTTCCTAACTTGACTTGCTTTCTGTATAGATTTCCCGGCTGTGAATTGGGTTCTTCAGTTTGATTGTCCAGAGGATGCCAACACGTACATTCACAGAGCAGGCAGAACTGCCAGGTAGGTGTGCTGGCTCATTTATTTGCCTTTTAGTACAATCTTAATACAAAAGCAGTTTTTTGGTGTAGGCTGATAGCAGCTGGTCAGCTGTTGTAAGTCATGGCCAAGACTTGATCATTCTGCTGAGAAAAATCATTAAAATCTTATGTCCGTTTTATTGGTCTAACTTTCTTCTCTTTCTAAACTTTTCACCCAAAGTGCTCATTAAACCTTCTCTCACTGAATCTAATCACCTCGTCAGTAAGGCATAGTGTAGTCATTAAGTTCCTGTTTTCAGCTAAGGAAACAGTCTTAGAGCAGTTGCACATTTGTTCAGAGACCCACAGAACCAGGGTTTGAACCCAACAGTCTCCGTCCTCTAGTCCAGCTGGGCACTTCACCTTCTGAGGAATGGGCTCCAGTAAGAGGCACCCTATTTGTGCCTTATCTTTGCTAAGAGGCTGTGTGAGAACAATTGGAAAAGAAAATAGCAAAGTGCCTAACATTTAAGAGTAAATGACATAGAAAGGTATCTGAAAAAGGACCGCATGCTGTCAATGATGGCAAGGTTGCAGGGAAGTTGGGAGATGCTGCACATAAAATTGTAAGTGGCTAGATGAACATTTTCCTGATACCATTTATAAATAGTTACTGAAAGTGGAGTTACTATCTTTCACCTCAGTGATTCCACACATAGAAATTGATGTTAAAAAGTAGAGTCGGATAAATTTCAGGAAAGGTTCTTGTCTTACTGATGCTTGTAATGGTTAAGAATTGAAGCAATGTAAAATAATCAAAATAGGGTTATGATTAATGTTAGCCACAGGTGGACTGTTTCTTGGCAGTTAGTCTCTTATCAAAACTGTATAGTGAGTATAATATGAATGTCTTCCATCAGTGATGGAAGAGACACTTTAATGATGGGTGAGATGCCAGCTGTTAGGTCAACAGTTATTTGACTTTTTTGCCATCAGCTTTTGTTAAATGACTTTCCAGGATGCAGCCTCTTTACACCCTCTTTAAAGCAAAGGCTTGGTCTTTCACATGCATTTGCATCCTTTCCTGCTAATTGACCTGAGTATGAAAGTGTCCTCTACACCTGGCTTATTTAGGAAATCTCTGAGAGTTTACATTTTTCTCTGAGTTCTTTTACATTTTTCATTCTAGTTAGTTTTCAGTTTTAAAGAAAAATGTTTGTGTTAATGTGAATTTTGTTGCTTCAGCTAAAATGAAGGTTTACCATGTCCTACAGCTTAACAAGTAGAGCTCTTCCTCTCCATTTGATAAAATAGAGAATATTTGTTTGAATATTTCATCCTTTTTCAGTTGATTTAGATTTATCCTGTAGGCCATTAAATGTGGGCTGCAATCAAAAGATACCAATTTCAATTAAATACATTTCTTTGATCAACATGAAGGAAGAGAGAATAGCATAATTGTTAAGGGTAAGACTATTTTGAAAGTAGGATTTATATGCCAGAAGAATCAAAATAAATATGGCAATTAATTACCTGATTTGAACAAGCAGTAGAGTTTAGAGCTGGGTTGTCTACAACATCATTGTGCATTCAGACAAATGAGAATGTTTGATTTCTGATGAGATCTGTAGTACCTCTTAAGAGGCATAGATAGAAGAGCAGCCTCATTTTCCAGTTCATAGAAAATTTATTGTATGCCAGTGGTCATTGTTTTGGGTAGATGTTTAGATTGTCTTTTATTGTGAGATATTCATAGCAACTATTAGTAGTTGTTGATGAATGTTTCTGTGCTTTTTAATCCTCCTCACTAAATGTGCAGTGTGTAGGAATTTGTACCTGTTGCTTTGCACACATTTGTATTTTGTGATCTGTGATTTCTGAATGGTTAAGGTAGGATACAGGGGTTAATAGCTTTATCAGATGTGCTGGTGGTATGAATGGTGTTGGCTTGGGTAGTGCAAACTGAGTCCTTTGTAGAATACATTTAATAGTGTTTTAAAGTTAGGCCTCCCATATGAAGATTATTGGGTGTGTCAACACATCAGGAAAAGGCCCCGGCGGGAAAATATTTCAGGGTTCCTGGTTACTGCACAAGTTGTCAAAAAAAATAACTTACATGGTTGACCATGTCATGATGTATATTAAACTGGTCTTAATGACTGTGGAGATGAAGAGGAGTAGAACATTACAATTGATTGTATTTGACGAGAATACTAATTTGAAAAACATTTGTAATTCTGTTTCTAATGTGATCATTAATTTTATAAGTACAATCCTGTTTGACCCTTCATAGCCAACTAAAAATATTTTGAATTGCTATTTCAGAAGCATAGACAGTGGAAAGGTTTAGGGTATGTAATGATAATTTTTCTTTAGCAGTTCAATAAAAAATGCCCAAATTGCACTTTAAAAGTTGTCATTAACAGGCTGAGATAATTAGAAAGTTTTGTGGGCCATGAGATAGATAATTGAATTGAATACATCTAAATTAAAATTTGAAACTAATTAAAATCCGTGTGTATGCTGTAATTAAAACTAGGTCACCAGATAATGTTTACTTTTAGAACTGAAGTATAATATAAATTTTAGTGCTTTGTGGCAAAATAAGTAAGATTTAGGGGAATCTCCCCCCCCCCATTCTGTTAGCTAAATGACAAAGGGTGGTTCAGATACTTGTTGGCTTGAAGTTCTTACGCATATAAAATTCTTTTGATGATCAACAATTGAGAATTTCCCTGAGCCATCCATACCACTTTAACAAAACAATCTCCTTTTGGTATGCGTGAGGAAGAGATGTGAACCAGCTTTATCAAGCTGCATCCTGTGATAATGATACCACTTAAAATCATTGTCTTTAGGGCTTGCAGTTTTTAGTGCTCAGGAAACCACTCTTTAATGCCCATTTCTTAAAATATATTGTTAGGGTCCAAGAACTCGATTACCACGAAAGACAGAGCATCCTCACACAAGAAAGCAAATTGCAAGGCAGAGTTTATTGGGCAGGCTAGCCAGGGTCAAGCCGTTCCCTGTTGGACACGCAGGACCAAGGGTGCGAGCGAGACCCTGACCAAGGAATGTCAGGGAATATATAGGTGTTATTGGCCATTACATACGTCATAGCCCGCACAAATTCAACTTAGCAAATGGATTCAAAGATTAACACATATCACAGCCTGGGTCACAGTTCAACCACCCAAGGACAGGTTTCCAGGAATAGATGTCTCATTTCCTGGTGCCTCCAGTCCAATCAGCCTGAGCCACAACATTGCCGTTATCCAATCAATTTAATGTACATTGTCTCTCTTCAACCTATCCTGTATTTCGGGGCTGAGGGCAGGGCCGCGCGTGCTTGCCTGGGCTTGTTTTGCTCAGGCCTGCGTTACTTCCTCTATTCCTTCAATATATTGCTTGATAATGGAAAATAGGTATACATAAGATACTCCTAATTTTTTTTTT